GAAAAAATATTTAAAACCGTCACGAGTAGAAATACTGAAAAAGGCTTCTTAAAAAATTGTCCGCCTAAAGGTCCCCCTTAAAAAACTATGCCTGCAGGTATGCTTGAAAAAAAATCATGAGTGAAAGTTTACTTTAAAATATCTTCCTATTTGTAAGCTTGAGAAAATATTCATTACGAAATCCACGCCCATTTGTATGCTTGAAAAAACATTCATTACGAAATCCACGCCTATTTGGGCCTTGGAAAAAATTTCTTTACGAAATCCACGCCTATTTGTATGCTTAAAAAAATATTCATTAAAAAATCCACGCCTATTTGCATGCTTGAAAAATACTCTTTAAAATATCCACGCCTATTTGTATGCTTCATAAAATATTCTTTTGAAAAATCCACGCCTATTTGTATGCTTCAAAAAATACTCTTTAAAAAATATTTTTTTTAAATACTTGCCTGAAAGTCTACTTGAAAAATACTCTTTAAAAAATTCACGCCTGATAGTCTACTTAAAAAATATTATTTTACAATCCACACCTCCTTGAAACAGTGTAATTAAAATTTCAAAGTTTTAGCTAAAAAAACACACACACATTAAATTTTATTTTTATTTTTCAATTAAACTTTCTCCACCTTCAAATATACCCCCTTATCGGTACCAATCAAATACGAAACCTTACCATAGGTCAAGGGTATCTGGGTCTTTTCACACACTGAGAATTTGAAATGTTGCAAAAGTAAAGCCAGTCCAATGGTGGCCTCCATTTTACCAAAACGCAAGCCAATGCAATTTCGAGGACCCTCACCGAAACCCAAAAACAAAACTGAATCACGTGCGGCCACTTTCTCGGGGGAGAAATTGTCGGGATTAAATTCCTGCGGTTTGGGATAATAACGTTCATCACGGTGTATGGCTCCAGAGGGTATTATAATTTGCATACCCTTTTTAATAACATATTTGGGATTTTGCGGTACCACATAGTCCTCCAAAGCGACACGGTTCAGGACAGGAAGTACAGTATATAAACGCAGGGTTTCTGTAGAGCAAAAAAGGGATGCCAATTGAAGGTACTTTAATTTTGAAAATTATGTCAGCTTACCCATCAAAATCTGTTCCAAATAGGTCATCTCCTTCATGCACTCATAGCTTAGCTCTCCTTGATATTTGTCCAATTTCTCCATGACCTCCTTCCTGGCCCTATCCTGTACCTCCGGATGCTTGGCCAATTCGTAAAGGGCAAAACTCAATGTAGTCGACGAGGTCTCAAAGCCCGCATTGAAAAATACAAAAGCCTGGGCCGCAATCTCCTCCAGTGTCAAATTGGTCAACTCATCCCCGTGTTCCGATTTGATGAGCTTCTTATTTTTCAAATCAATCAGCATATCCATAAAATCGTTGCGACGAATATTATTCTTCTCGCGATATTCCACTGTCTCTCGAACGATGCGCATAAAAAATTCCTCAATATCATCAGGGGTCTGTTTCATATGCAGCTTGCGAGCCAGCTCACAACAGCTGATCATAAATCCAATTATGAGGCGATTATGTTTATGTTCCACCAAGGATCTGCTGCCCATGACACGAAATTCTGCATTGGGATCTTTCAAACTGCTGCACTCAATACCAAAGGCACAGGTTCCAATGACATCTGTGGTAAATCGGGCCATTAGTTCCTTTATTTCCACAACACTACCCTCCTTTTCGTCCACCAAATTTCCGAGAACCCCTATCATCTCCTTGGCCACTTGGGTCACAGTGGGAAACATAAATTTCATTTTACCCGAGGTGAAGGTGGGTGATAACTTCTGGCGCATTTGTTTCCATTTCAATCCCTCCAGCAGAAACAATTGACCCGACAACGGATCATCCTGTTCATTGTGAAAGAAACCACGATCCGGAAAATTTTGAAAATCCTTGATCAAAATGTTTTTAATCAACTCGGGGTCCAGTACAAATACCGCCGGCTTAAAGAACCAATAGAAACCGGCAAATGGTCCCGTGCCTTTAAAACGTCGATAATAGTCTTCCCATATTTCCCAGAAGCCACGAGTCAACTGGACACCTTTCAGATTGCCAAAAATCAAATGGGGCTCTTCGCAGGGTATACCCAGAGACTGCCAATAGCTGCGACTTTTATACAACGAATGAATAAAATAGCCGATAAGACCGGTGAGAATGGTTAATAGAATTAGCGATAACTCCATGTGGTTGGTTTTTTCCCGATCGAAACTTCTCCAATGCCGATTGATAACTGAATGCTAAATCATTGTTTTTGGCAAAGCTTTTTGCCAAAAAATTTTGGTTTAGAACTTTTGAGATTTTTTAATGGTAATTTAATTGCAACTTAGATAACAAATACAAACGCACAAACATACATATTTATAACCGGTCTACGATTTAGTAAACAATAAAAACAATAACAACTAAACAATGACAATATTCGGCGAACATAGAAAAAAAATTGGATATGCCCAATTTAAAGTCTGGAATTTAAGAGAATCCACGCAGATTTCAAATGTCGATTATTTTTAAATATTTGTCATTGGCCTAAGGACGAACCCTATTGAAATTGGGAAAAATCGGTCCCGATTTAGATATAGCTCCCATATATATTTTGGTCCGATTTTAGGTAAATGCTCCACGGAAGTCCCTATATATCCTTCGATTTGCACGAAATTTGGCATAGCGTACTGAATTGAGTCTAGAAGGATGTGTGTTAAATTTCGTGAAAATCGGTTTAGATTAAGATATAGCTCCCATAAATATTGTCGTCCGATTTTATGTAAAAGGTGCTCGTAAGTCCCCATATATACTTCGATTAGCACGAAATTTGGCATAGCATACTTAATTGAGTCTAGAACGATGTGTGTTAAATTTCGTGAAGATCGGTTCGGAATTAGATATAGCTCCCATATATATTATCGACCGATTTTATGTAAAAGGTGCTCGTAAGTCCCTATATACCCTTCGATTTACACGAAATTTGGCACCACGTACTGTACTAAGTGTAGAACGATGTGTGTTAAATTTCGTGAAAATCGGTTCGGAATTAGATATAGTTCCCATATATATTATCGACCGATTTTATGTAAAAGGTGCTCGTAAGTCCCTACATATCCTTCGATTTGCACGAAATTTGGCATAGCGTACTGAAATGAGTCTAGAACGATGTGTGTTAAATTTCGTGAAAATCGGTTCAGATTTAGATATAGCTCCCATATATATTTTCGTTCGATTTTATGTAAATGCTGCACGGAAGTCCCAATATATCCTTCGATTTGCGCGAAATTTGGCATAGCGTACCAAAATGAGTCTAGAATGATGTGTGTTAAGTTTCATAAAAATCGGCCCAGATTTAGATATAGCTCCCATTTATATTTTCGTCCGATTTTATGTAAATGGTGCACCAAAGTCCCAATTTATCTTTCGATTTTCACGAAATTTGGCACAGCGTGCTAATTTAAGTCTAGAAAGATGTGTGTTCAATTTCATAAAATTCTGTTCAGATTTAGATACAGCTCCCATATATATATATATATATATATATTTCGTCCGATTTTATGTAAATGGTGCACCAAAGTCCCTATATATCCTTCGATTTGCACGAAATTTGGCATAACGTACTGAAATGAGTCTAGAACGATGTGTGTTAAATTTCGTGAAAATCGGTTCAGATTTAAATATTACCCTCATATATATTTTCGTCCGATTTAAGGTAAATAGTGCACCAAAGACCCTATATATCCTTCAATTTGCACGAAATTTGACATAGCGTACTGATTTGAGTCTAGAACGATGTGGGTTAAATTTCGTGAAAATCGGTTCAGATTTACATATAGCTCCCATATCTATTTTCGTCCGATTTTATCTAAATCGTGTTCGGAAGTACCTATATATCCTTAAATTTGCACGAAATTTGGCATAGCGTACTGAATTAAGTGTAGAACGATGTGTGTTAAATTTCGTGAAAATCGGTTCAGATTTAGATATAGCTCCCATATATATTTTCGTCCGATTTTATGTAAATCGTGCTCGGAAGGTCCTATATATCCTTCACTTCGCACGAAATTTGGTACAACGTACTGAATTAAGTCTAGAAGAATGTGTGTTAAATTTCGTGAACATCGGTTCAGATTTAGATATAGCTCCCATATATATTTTCGTCCGATTTTATGTAAATGGTGCTCCGAAGTCCCTATATATCCTTCGATTTGCAAGAAATTTGGTACAACGTACTGAATTAAGTCTAGAAGAATGTGTGTTAAATTTCGTGAACATCGTTTCAGATTTAGATATAGCTCCCATATATATTTTCCTCCGATTTTATGTAAGTGCTCCACGGAAGTCCCTATATATCCTTCGATTTGCAAGAAATTTGGCATAGCGTACTGAATGGAGTCTAGAATGATGTGTGATAAGTTTCGGAAAAATCGATTCAGATTTCGATATAGCTCCCACATATACATATATATATATATATATATATATATTCGTCCGATTTGACCTTAGTGGTGCACCAAATTCCTAATGTTTTTCCGATTCCTAATATTTGTCACGCCAACAGAGACGTACATTTTTTAAAAAAATATTTTTTCAAGTAGCGTGGATTATCTAAAAAAAAATTTAATACTGGCCTGCTTCGTCATGCTATATACCTCATATCAAATTCCCCAACAAATTCACTGTCATTAAAAAAAAACACTATCGTTCTGTTTATTATCTTTCATCAGCTGTGTGTCTTGGCCCCCTGTTAACCAATCTCTGAGGGTGTGTGTGTGCGTACGAAGAGTAAAAACAGTGCCGGTTAATGAAGCCCAATACTGCAGAACCTGTAATTATTAATAAAAAACGTTGACTCCCAAATAAAAACCCCGCATATTCTCTCAGAGAATGAGAAAGCTTTCGTAATTAAAATCAGCTTGCTGACTGGTTCTACTGATCAGTTTGTTAGCGAACGCATACGGCGGATAGTGTTCGACCGGCTTCATCGTTACCGTGGAACAATGTCTTTATCGTTTATTTTATTCACGACCGTGTGTGGCCTACTGGCCTATCTCGTCCATGTTTTAAAAAAGAAGCAAAACTATTGGCAGTCTTTGGGTATACCCTGTGAAGAGCCTCACTTCCCGTTTGGCAGTTTATGGGGTGTGCAGAAAACCCGAGGCTTTTGGCAAATCTGGGAGGAATATTATAATCGCTTTAAGGGTTCCGGACCGTTTGCCGGATTCTATTGGTTCTTCCGACCTGCTGTCTTTGTGCTGGATCCCGAGTTAATCAAAAATGTTTTGATTAAAGATTTTAGTAAATTTACCGATCGTGGGTTTTATCACAACGAAAAGGATGATCCCTTGTCGGGTCAGTTATTCCTTTTGGATGGGGCCAAATGGAAAAATATGCGTAACAAATTATCGCCCACCTTCACATCGGGTAAAATGAAATTTATGTATCCCACAGTGACCAAAGTGGGTGAGGAATTCATTGAAGTTTTGGGCAAAATGGTAGAGCAGAATGGCAGTGTGGTAGAGGTGAAGGATCTGCTGGCCAGATTTACAACCGATGTCATTGGAACTTGTGCCTTTGGCATTGAATGCAGTAGCCTAAAAGATCCAAATGCCGAATTCCGGGTGATGGGTAAAAAATCGTTGGTCGAACAGAGGCACAATCGTTTGATAATTGCCTTCATGGCCAGTTTTGTGGATTTGGCCAGGAAATTGGGTTTCAAACAGACCCCCGATGACATCGAGGCATTCTTTATGCGCATTGTCCGCGAGACGGTAGAATATCGTGAGAAGAATAATATTCGTCGCAACGATTTTATGGATATGTTGATTGATTTGAAAAATAAGAAGCTCATGAAATCCGATCATGGTGATGAGTTGACAAATTTGTCGTTGGAGGAAATTGCCGCACAGGCTTTTGTATTTTTCAATGCGGGTTTTGAGACCTCGTCGACCACATTGGGTTTTACGTTGTATGAATTGGCCCAGAATCAAGAGGTACAGGATAAGGCGAGACGAGAGGTCATGGAAAAATTGGACAAATATCAAGGAGAGCTGAGCTATGAGTGTCTGAAGGAGATGCAATATTTGGAGCAGATATTGTCGGGTAAGGGAATGAATCGATTTTTACAAAAATATAATTTTTTAAAGCAGAGTGTATTTTCAAAAAAAATATTATTTTCTACAGACGACTAGAAGCGTTAAATGCTTTCAATGTCTAATTACATAGTAATCTCGGCAGAAGTAAAAAAGGGTTGCCAAAGCTTTACAGGCGTGGATTTTTTAAAAATATGTTTTGAAGGCCTTAGAAGAGGCGAGGATTTTTTTTAAAATATGTTTTGAAGGCCTTAGAAGAGGCGTGGATTTTTAAAAATATGTTTTGAAGGCCTTAGAAGAGGCGTGGATTTTTTTTTTAAATATGTTTTGAAGGCCATAGAAGAGGCGTGGATTTTTTTAAATATGTTTTGAAGGTCATAGAAGAGGCGTGGATTTTTTTAAAAATATATTTTGAAGGCCTTAGAAGAGGCGTGGATTTTTTAAAAATATGTTTTGAATGCCTTAGAAGAGTCGTGGATTTTTTAAAAATATCTTCTGAAGGCCTTAGAAGAGGCGTGGATTTTTTAAAAATATGTTTTGAAGGCCTTAGAAGAGGCGGGGATTTTTTAAAAATATCTTCTGAAGGCCTTAGAAGAGGCGTGGATTTTTTAAAAATATGTTTTGAAGGCCTTAGAAGAGGCGGGGATTTTTTAAAAATATGCTTTGAAGGCCTTAGAAGGGGCGTGGATTTTTTTAAAAATATGTTTTGAAGGCCTTAGAAGAGGCGTGGATTTTTTAAAAATATGTTTTGAAGGCCTTAGAAGAGGCTTGGATTTTTTCAAAAATATGTTTTGAAGGCCTTAGAAGGGGCGTGGATTTTTTAAAAATATGCTTTGAAGGCCTTAGAAGGGGCGTGGATTTTTTTAAAAATATGTTTTGAAGGCCTTAGAAAAGGCATGGATTTTTTAGAAATATGTTTTGAAGGCCTTAGAAGAGGCGTGGATTTTTTTAGAAGAGGCTTGGATTTTTAAAAATATGCTTTGAAGGCCTTAGAAGGGGCGTGGATTTTTTTAAAAATATGTTTTGAAGGCCTTAGAAGAGGCGTGGATTTTTTAAAAATATGTTTTGAAGGCCTTAGAAGAGGCTTGGATTTTTTCAAAAATATGTTTTGAAGGCCTTAGAAGGGGCGTGGATTTTTTAAAAATATGCTTTGAAGGCCTTAGAAGGGGCGTGGATTTTTTTTAAAAATATGTTTTGAAGGCCTTAGCAGAGGCGTGGATTTTTTTTTAAATACGTTTTGAAGGTCTTAGAAGAGGCGTGGATTTTTTAAAAATATGTTTTGAAGGCCTTAGAAAAGGCATGGATTTTTTAGAAATATGTTTTGAAGGCCTTAGAAGAGGCGTGGATTTTTTTAAAAATATGTTTTGAAGGCCTTAGAAGAGGCTTGGATTTTTTAAAAATATGCTTTGAAGGCCTTAGAAGGGGCGTGGATTTTTTTAAAAATATGTTTTGAAGGCCTTAGAAGAGGCGTGGATTTTTTAAAAATATGTTTTGAAGGCCTTAGAAGAGGCGTGGATTTTTTAAAAATATGTTTTGAAGGCCTTAGAAGAGGCGTGGATTTTTTAAAAATATGTTTTGAAGGCCTTAGAAGAGGCGTGGATTTTTTAAAAATATGTTTTGAAGGCCTTAGAAGAGGCGTGGATTTTTTAAAAATATGTTTTGAAGGCCTTAGAAGAGGCGTGGATTTTTTAAAAATATGTTTTGAAGGCCTTAGAAGAGGCGTGGATTTTTTAAAAATATGTTTTGAAGGCCTTAGAAGAGGCGTGGATTTTTTAAAAATATGTTTTGAAGGCCTTAGAAGGGGCGTGGCTTTCTGCAGCCCCAAGAATTTGTAACGCCGCGAAATATTGATCCGTTGAGTATACCGATTGTCATATCTCGACTAGCTGAGTCGATCGAGACATATGTGTCCCTCCGTCCGTCTGTCTGCCCATTATAATTTGTAAACACGATACAGGCCACAGTTATGGACCAATCTTCACGAAATGACCTCTAGTCGTCAAGAGGGTGCAAATATCGCGAAATATTACCATAGCTCAGAATGTAGTGCCACATAAAGTTAGATTTTCGTGGGAGTTGTGTAGGGTATCATAGGTCGGTCCCGCCCGACTATACTGCTCCGCTCACTGGTTTAATAATATTTTTTTTTCAGGAAATCTTCGAATATGTTGAAATAAATTTATTAAAAATATTTCTTTCCACATTTTCCTTTTCAGAAACCCTCCGCCTCTACACAGTCCTGCCCATACTCAACCGCATGGCCTTGGAAGATTATGTCGTGCCTGGCAATCCCAAATATGTCATCAAAAAGGATATGCAAATACTAATCCCAGCCGGAGCCATACATCGTGATGAGAAATATTATCCCCAACCGAATACCTTTAATCCCGACAACTTCTCTCCGGATAAGGTAGCGGAACGTGATTCAGTATTATTTTTACCATTTGGTGAGGGTCCACGCAATTGTATCGGAATGCGTTTTGGTAAAATGCAAGCCCTAGTTGGATTGGCATTGCTAATGAAAAATTTCCGATTCTCTGTGTGTAAGGAGACACAAATTCCCCTGACTTATAGTAAGGAGGCATTTTTAATAAGTACCGATAAGGGTATTTATCTGAAGGTGGAAAAAATCTAAAACGTAATTTTTTTTGTAAATAATGGACAATAAAAATTAGATAATAAAATACTAATGATTTTGTAAAATTGCTTTGTAATCGAATGTTGTCGTTCATTTTTTGGGTGATAGATAGTTTTGGTGGAGCGTTAAGTGATTTCAATGTCCAATTACATAGTAATCTTGGTAGAAGCAAATAGGGTTGCCGAATTAAGAAAAAAATAGTTTTTAAAAATATTATATTTTTTAAAAAATATTATTTCAAGGCCTATGGAGAGGCGTAGATTTTGAAAAAAAAAATATATTTTCTCAAGGCCTTAGAAACGACTTTTTGAAAATATTTTTACAATCCCTGATGGATTTTTTGGGCTTATATGGGGCAAAAAAAAATCCAGGGCCTTAGTAGAGGCTTTGATTTTTTACAAATATATTCTCAAGGCCTTAGAAGAGGCGTGGATTTTTTTAAAATATTTTTTCATAGCCAATAGGCGGGATTTTTTTAAAATATTTTTTCATAGCCAATAGGCGGGATTTTTTTAAAATATTTTTTCATAGCCAATAGGCGGGTTTTTTTAATATTTTTTCATAGCCAATAGGCGGGTTTTTTTTAAATATTTTTTCGTAGCCAATAGGCGGATTTTGGATTTTTTGAAAATATGTCCTCAAGGCCTAAGAAGAGGCGTGAATCTTATCAACATATTTTTTTCAAAGCCTAAGAAAATAGCGTGGATTTTTTGAAAATATTATTTCAAGGCCTAAGGAGAGGCCTGGATTTTGAGAAAATGTTTTCTCAAGGCCTTAGAAGGGCAAGGATTAAGGCCTTAAAAGAGGAGTGGATTTTTTAAAAATATGTTTTCAAGGCCTAAGAACGGGCGTGGTCTTTTAAAAATATTTTTTAAGGCCTGGTTTTTTTAAAAATATTTTTCAATGACTTTTTAAAAACTTATTATCCATTGCCCCCAAAGACTGTAAATTTCAGACCCTTGAAAATGTTGATAAGGTTATCACAAGTTCTTTGAACTAAATCTAGTTGCCGTACGTAATTGATATTTAAATGCCGAATCACCGTACAAAAAAAAAATAAATGTTTATTTCCTATCAAATAGATAATATATTTGGCGATTAGATAGCAATGCATTTCAAAATTTTGTTAACAAAATGTATATTAGTTCGATTAATCAAACTGGTCGTAAAGTAATAACAGCAAAAATTAACAACAACAAAAATATCAATAAAGTCAAAATTTTCTGCGAAATCATGTTCCATAGAAACATATATTGAGAAGTTTTTTTCTTTTTTTTCAATACACATTTGCGATTTTCAATACTGTGGCAACATTGTTGACAATGTTTGTAAACAAAGCGTATTAATGTTATTCATCAAATAACACATAGAGTATAATTTTCAAATGTGTATCTATAGGTCAACAAGATATATATAAACAATTCTGATGGCAACCATAAAGGGCCTAATAATGATGGGGCCTTTAATTTTTTTTTAACAAAACAATAAATATAAACTTTTATGGCCTATCCCAAGGCGTGGATTTTTTAAAGATTATTTTTATGGCCTATCCCAAGGCGTGGATGTTTTAAAGGAATATTTTTGGAAGCCTTCCCAAGGCGTGGATTTTTTAAAGGAATATTTGTGGAAGCCTTCCCAAGGCGTGGATTTTTTAAACATTATTTTTTAAGCCTATCCCAAGGCGTGGATTTTTTAAACATTATTTTTTTATGGTCTATCCCAAGGCGTGGATTTTTTAAACATTATTTTTTATGGTCTATCCCAAGGCGTGGATTTTTTAAACATTATTTTTTATGGTCTATCCCAAGGCGTGGATTTTTTAAACATTATTTTTTATGGCCTATCCCAAGGCGTGGATTTTTTAAACATTATTTTTTATGGTCTATCCCAAGGCGTGGATTTTTTAAACATTATTTTTTATGGTCCATCCCAAGGCGTGGATTTTTTAAACATTATTTTTTATGGTCTATCCCAAGGCGTGGATTTTTTAAACATTATTTTTAATGGCCTATCCCAAGGCGTGGATTTTTTAAACATTATTTTTTATGGTCTATCCCAAGGCGTGGATTTTTTAAAGATTATTTTTATGGCCTATCCCAAGGCGTGGATTTTTTTAAAGAATATTTTTATGGCCTATCCCGAGGCGTGAATTTTTTTAAAGAATATTTTTATGGCCTATCCCAAGGCGTGGATTTTTTTAAAGAATATTTTTTATGGCCTATCCCAAGGCGTGGATTTTTTTAAAGAATATTTTTATGGCCTATCCCAATGTGTGGATTTTTTAAAGAATATTTGGTATGGCCTATCCCAAGGCGTAACATTTTAAAGAATATTTTTTATGGTCCATCCCAAGGCGTGGATTTTTTAAACATTATTTTTTATGGTCTATCCCAAGGCGTGGATTTTTTTAAAGAATATTTTTATGGCCTATCCCAAGGCGTGAATTTTTTTAAAGAATATTTTTATGGTCTATCCCAAGGCGTGAATTTTTTGAAAGAATATTTTTTATGGTCTATCCCAAGGCGTGGATTTTTTGAAAGAATATTTTTTATGGTCTATCCCAAGGCGTGGATTTTTTGAAAGAATATTTTTTATGGTCTATCCCAAGGCGTGGATTTTTTGAAAGAATATTTTTTATGGTCTATCCCAAGGCGTGGATTTTTTGAAAGAATATTTTTTATGGTCTATCCCATGGAATTTTTAGAGGCCCACAGAAAGGCGCCTGATTAGTCCATAGCCCATATTAGTAGTTACGTTTTATTCGGTTAATTCATTAACAATTTCATACAAACAATAGTTGTTTTTATTTATTTATTTTCTACTAGACAAAAAGCTTCCCACACAGCAAGAGAAAGCTTTTATTATATATTTGAGAACAATAAGACATGAAATTTTAGGTTTTGTTCTCTATTTGAATGGGTATGACCTAATCGAACTCTATATCAATTACGAAGAAGATCAATTATTGTCCAGAAGAGAGATTTTCAAAATTCAAAAAAAAAAATATATATATATATTCATATATTTTTTTCAAGACAATAAAAGACGTATTTTTAAATATTTTTTCAAGATTTTTGCAAAGAATATTTTTTCAAATCCATAGAAGGCGTGGATTTTTCAAAATTTTTGTTTTCAAGACCATAGAAGGCGTCGATTTTTACACCCTCCACAACTATGTTGTCAGGGTATTATAGCTTTTTGTAGCCCCAAGAGTTTGTAACGCCGCGAAATATTGGTCCTAGACCCAGCTTTAAGTATACCGATCGTCATATATCGACTAGCTGAGTCGATCTAGACATGCGTGTGCGTCCGCCCGTTCGTTTGTCCATTATAATTTGTAAACACGATACAGACAACAGTTATGGACCAATCTTCACGAAATTTTACATGTAGGATGGGTTTTGCCCAATGAAGACCCCTATTGTTTTTAGTAAGGATCGGGGGATGAAATGGACCAAATATTTAATTTTTGTCGGGTTTTCTGGTCGCTCCAGAGACCGCAATTATGGCCCGAACGAAATTTTACATGATGAGGGAGATCGGTGCAAAGAATATGTATACCTTCTTTGATAAAAATCAGTCGTTATTT